GCCTTATATAGCTGGCCTACAGGTGTAATATCAGAGGGAATATCCTCTGATTTTGGAATAACCAACTCTGGCAGATAACATGGCTGGCCTACAGGTGCAACAAACTTTGATTGTAACTAATTCTGGGGCTCTGCCGCCTGGCTCCTCTGTCTTCTTGTGAATGGCTGATAGGTGGTGGCCTGCTCCACTCCCCTAGTGGGTTCTGGATGGGGTGTTTGGGTCTCAACAATGAATGTGCGTATAAGATTTAAACCAATGTTATACATGAATCTTGCATGCACAACTTCACAGAATGTTTTAAGCACTAAGGTGTGATGTGAGGCGTTCCACTCCTATTACCTAGAGGCGTGAGAGGTGTAGTTCAGAATATATGAGGCATAAGCCTTCAGAAATCAGAACACAAGGTGTAAGCCTCCCTAAGAGGAGGGAGATGAGGAGGAAGGAGGGGGAGGAAGAAGAAGAGGAAGGAGGATCTCATTTTTCTTTATTTTTATTAAAAATCTTTTATATTAAGAATGAAGATGCATAGCTGAAAGGGGGGGGGTCTTGCTGAAGCAGAGGCAAGTGAGTGAGCCAAAATGGGAATGCAATACACCACAGTTCATACGGGTCTTGTGGATCCACTATCCAGAAGTTCTAGACTCATTTTGGCTACAGCAAGGTTCAAAGTATTAATACGTATTGGCCCTCATTGATACTTTGTGCCGGTGGCTTCCCAATATGCCCCTGCAGGGGTTGAATTGGGTCAGCCACTGGTTCAGAGGGTAGCTGGGCCTTAAACCGGCCCCTTTGAACCGATTTAAAAAAAAAGCACCGACACTGGCCGACTGGCCGATACTTTGAACCTTGGTTTACAGTTTACCATGCCTTCTTTCTTTGTTCTGTAACTGTAATAATAATAATTCCATTTTGGCTAAATAAATAGTTGAATCACCTGTTATCTAATATTGTTTTTTAATTCTCACCCTTCTGCAGGAGGAACTGATTGATTTTTTATGAAGCCGTTGTCTTGGTTGCTCAGCTACAAATTGATTTGTTTGGTGGTGAGCTGCAGATGTTTTAATTGGTTTTGGCAACGTGATCTGCAAGCATTTTAACAGTTCACTTCAAGTTTACATAAATCCGAAGATTTTGTATTGGAAAAATATGGTTCTTATGGACCACGACACGATCATGATGTATGCATGGAATGCTCTGATGGTATTTGGGGTGATTTCTTGCCTCATCTTTTATTTATTTTATTTTTCAAAAAGAATGGCGGGAGTGTTTCAAACTTTTTATGGGTTACTGAATATTGGATAGTATAGAGGGAGGCAGGATTGAGTCCCTCAATTCTTCATTTCTTTTTCCCTGTCATAATCTTAATAGTAATACTTACACGAGGCCAAGTCTTTTAATTCAAAAGGCGGGTGGGGACGGAGTTATTTGTAATATCAGGCATGGAAAATCGTGTACAAGGTGGTAAACTTGAGAGAGCAGCATCCCGGTATCGTTCGTGTGTACTTGAATATCGCATATATAACATCTCTCTTTTGAGTTTTTGATCCAAATTCAATTCCAATTCCTTTCTCTTATATCCGTGGCTGGGTTAGGTCTTACGAGGAAAACCTTACATGTATGAATACAAGGTCAAACCTGTTGTCTCTGCAAGTCACAGTTGGAGACCTTTCAAGTTCTACGCCCGTTTTTTTTTTTTTCTCATGCACTTTCTCAAGAGTTGTTTGGTGTAGTGCACAAAGTGGCATTAACCCATATGCCCTACGCTGGTAGGGGCGTATTGGGTGAATTGAGACTTTTTTTTTATATTTTTTTCGCAACCACTTCAGGGGGTCGGTTTAGGGTTTTTTCACCTTCTGAATCGGTCAGACTCTCGATACACCCACTGTAGGGATGTATCGGAGGGGTCTTAGAATGTTATGTATCAACTGATATGGATCAATACGTATCGATACTTTGAACCTTCAGTTTTTATAAATTCTTTGAACTCACATTTCGTGCCTTGTATGGACACGGCACATGCAGCGATCGCTGCTACGCCTACGGCCACTGTTATTCCAATAGACGTAGCGTAGATGAGCAACAGACAAAAAATATTATTGAAAAAAATTGGATTGGATTTCAATATTTCATCGGTCACTGTTGTGACTTGTGTTGTCGGAGTTAAGATATTATCGGGAGCAAGTGTGGTGTATGTTGATTGTTGATGTTGTTACCTACACTAATCTATTTTACTTCACACTCCTCCCTTCTCTTAAAACTCTAAATGCGCTCGCTGCTACGCCTACGGTCCCTTTTGCAAGGCAGGCGGCCCAGGCCATCAACAATCACTCCCTTTCTCGACCTCGACTATCTTTGCTGCTTCATGGCCACCACCACCGGCACCACCGCTGAACCAATGAGCCCCTCCAACACTCGAGTAGGTTGGATCGGAACTGGGGTGATGGGTCAATCCATGTGCGCTCATCTCATCAGGGCCGGCTTCTCCCTCACCGTCTACAACCGCACTCAATCCAAAGCCCTACCCCTCCTTGATATGGGTGCCCAATATGCTCCTTCCCCTCTTGCCGTCGCTTCCTCCTCTGACGTCGTCTTCACCATCGTCGGTTACCCATCCGACGTCAAATCCGTCCTCCTCGGCTCCTCCGGTGCCCTCCATGGCCTCCGCCCCGGCGGCGTCCTTGTTGACATGACCACTAGTGATCCCTCCCTCGCTGTCGAGATCTCCACCGCCGCCGCCTCCAAGGGCTGTGCCTCCGTCGATGCTCCAGTCTCCGGTGGCGACCGCGGCGCTAAATCGGGAACCCTAGCGATCTTCGCCGGGGGTGATGAATCGGTGGTCCGGCGTCTCTCGCCCTTGTTTAATTGCTTAGGCAAGGTGAATTACATGGGCGGGCCCGGGAAAGGGCAATTCGCGAAGCTTGCCAACCAGATAACAATCGCTTCAACGATGGTCGGGTTGGTAGAGGGAATGGTCTATGCCCACAAGGCAGGGCTAGATGTGGAGTTGTACTTGAATGCCATTTCGACTGGAGCGGCCGGATCAAAATCCTTGGATTTATACGGCAGTAGGATACTGAAGAGGGATTTTGAAGCTGGCTTCTTCGTGAACCATTTTGTGAAGGATTTGGGGATCTGTTTGAGGGAGTGTCAAAACATGGGTCTTGCTTTGCCTGGCTTGGCTCTTTCTCAGCAGCTCTATCTTTCGCTCAAGGCTCACGGAGAGGGGAATTTGGGCGTCCAATCACTTATCTTGATTCTCGAGCGTCTTAACAACATTTCACTAGAGCTTGCAACTTCTTTACCACGTTCGACTTCTTAGAATCAGGTATTTCTTAGCTATTTATGTTTCTTCTTCTCTCCTATCTAATGGATTCTTCTCTGTGCTGGTGGTGAGGTTTGAAATTAATTATAGTTTCTTTTGGGTTTTGCTTGCTTTATGGCTTCTTCAGTTCATCAATCAACATTTTATACTGGAAACAATATGATAATGATGTTTAGAGTACTCAATTCGTTGTTTGTTTGAAAGAGTCCATCTCCACCTGCGTCTATATCTGTAACTCTCTTTGGTGTGAATTCCTGTTGGGACTGTCTCTGTAAGTTTTGCCAATCAGATGTATGAAGTACATCTATACGTATTTTTGTAAATAAATCAATTAAGCAAAGTCGTTGAGATAGGAGCATTTGAATAAGAAATCAGGCATATTTGCAAGCTCCAGTTTCACCTGGAATCAGCTGAAAATGTAGTGATTCTCTTTGTGAACTAATCGATACTTATGGCATGAGTAGCACTTTGCTTCTCAATTTCTTTTTGTTTCCTATAACTCTTGTATTAACAGGTTCCTTTACATACTGTTAATATGATCTAAAAACAAAACCAAGCTTCTTTACATGCTGAATTGCTTACAAAGAAAGGGAGAAGATGCCTTACAAGTTCTGTTACATACTATCAATATGATCAGAAAACAAAATCGCGTAACTTCAGGCCATCCATGGTGCACCCTGCCTTGTTCCCCATTCCTTAATCCCCTGTAGTCTGTAATGCCAAAAAAAAGAAAAAGCTTCTTTACATTTAGAGTTATATCCAGTCCAAAAACTTATCAAAATCAAATTTCACGAGGACCATTATTTGGTTTCCACAATCTCATGACAAGTAGTCAAAAGTAGTCAAGGTGATTCTCGGACTTGTCACTCAAATTACAGGCTTAAACAGGCTAGTTGCTAATTGTATGAGTTAGCAGAGATCTTGTTGCACGGCCTATGAAGTTTATATAGTGTCTCTCCATATAGCTGATTGAACTCACAGAGTTCAGCAATGAAATGGTGTATCAGACCACTTCAACTATGCCATATGTATGAATTGTGTTTACCGAGTAATATGCATTTGATCGGTCACTGTATCGCTCACTGTACATCACAAGTACTGGGTAGCCACTAGTTTCTTGAAATGTATGCTATTAATAAGATACATATTAATGCATGGGTACTTCTACTGGGGTTCAGCAGGAACTGCGCTATGATTGGTTATCGGAGATGGGAGGGAAGTTTCAATATTTCTTACAATGCAATAATCACATTTATCAGAAAAGAAAAGGGGGTAGCCAGATGGAGAATGAGATTGTCAATTCACTTGAACATTCATAATAATACTTATTGATGTCCTTACTGATCAATTATCATGACAATAACTCAGAACATTCAGTGGAACCTGGGTTGTATAATTTTCCTGTTCAGATGCCATGCTTCCGGTCATATTTTTTTTTTGGATCACACAGCCTTAGTGACAAAAGTGCACAGAAAACAGAAACCTGTTTGATGAAGAAGAATGGACAGTCCTAAAGATAGCATTTGAAGGCAATTGGAGACAAGCCAGAGAGAGAGAGTCCATTGATCCATTCATATTCTTTTTAGATCCATCTTCTCTCTGCTCAAAGCTTTGGTAGATAATTCCTTCACTATTGAGTTAGAACGTGCAGAGGATTGCCATTGCATGAGGTGTTTATTATTATTAGTAGCCCCCAAGTTTATTGAGTAAGCAGTTTTACTTTCAGTCTTTCACATTAAGAAATGGTGTGCCGTCCACATGGATCTGTTTCCGATCTAGCTAATATGTTAATAAATAGAATCGTATTGCTGAAAACCAGTGTTCTCGAACCGTCCAGGTTATTCTGACTGTTTGGCCTGAGAACTGTCTAGGCAACAGGTTCCATTTTACCTTAAACCTCGTCCTTAGTAAAAAACTGTTGAATTGGTCAGTGATCCACTGACCTGGGTGGTTGAACCACTAATATACTTGACCCGTTTTACGGTTCTGGTTCGAGATCGGTTTTTAAAACCATGCTGAAAAGCCCTTGGCAAACAAAATGAAAATTTTCCCATATTAATGATCTTCAGATCAGTGTGGGGTGGGAACTAGAAGTTTTTACCCGGGTTGGAAGTCGAAGGATCCATTGGTCTTGAGCAGATCTCGAAGTCTTGTAAATGTGAATGTGAAGGGCACCGAATTTCTTAATCGATAGGCTTCAAGTTTCTAAGAATATGATTTCTTATTTTTTCAGGCAGAGTGTTGGATGAAATAGTTACTTTTAGCTTACTAATTTATTCTACACAAGGCAAGTATAAGTTAACTCTTGGCCTCTTGCTATTGTTGTACATACTTGTCCTCCAAGATTATGATTTTTAACATCCTCTAATCTCCAATAACCCAACGATAGCAAATGGGTTTTAGTCAACTAACCAAGTAAAGTCGTAACAATATTATATGCCCAAAATCCAAATGATGCATAAACCTAATTCTAGATTGTTTGAGTAGAATACATCTAACAGGGATGACTGGATTGTGTACCGGCAAGCATCTATTCATTTGTGAATCACGTCTTCGCATGGCTGATTGCGTAAATGCCTTTAAAGTAGAATATGTGAATGCAATATTCTTATTCATTCTACTTAATACCTGTATTGTTTGTCGGGTTTGAATGCACATTATTTAGAAGGCAAAGGGATAGCATTTTAGAATCTGGATTCAGCCTGCAGTTTCTTTCTATACTACTATGTCTCGACTGAACCAGTTTCGACTTTCGACTGCAGTTTCTACACTATTTCAATTTCTCTCCTTCCATGAAAGCTCTCCACTGAAGGAGCGAAAATAAGCTGAAAGCTGAAACTCTTTGTCAACGAATGAAGGATAAACAAGGAAAGGATATACAAGGATGGAGCCAGCTCCATGCCCATGTGTATCCGGATCCTAAAACAACTACTGCCAAAAGGGTTACGTTTAGGCCGGCTTGATGTTAAACAATGACCCTTTATATATATGCAAATCTTCTGGTGCTTGACTGCTGGTTAGGTTCGGGTTCAAGCATGGACCAGGTGGTTCCAGTTAAACTATCCTAGCTATAGAGATGTCTATTTGACCCACCCCCGTCAGGCACTTCTTTACAGGTTTTCTTACCATTGGTTGGGATTTGGAGCGGGTTCGGGRAAATCCAAAATTCTAAGGACCGGGGATGGGGCAAGGATGGTATTTGTCCACCCTGCCCCGATATATGTCTGTGGAGGTATGTATGTACATGTATTTTAGCAATAAAAATGTATAATTATTTTTTAGATTTAATATGTGTATATATAAATATTATTTTATGTTTTACTTATATTTTTAATTCAGGTTTTATTTTTTTTTGTAAAAAGCGCAACAATTGAGATTTAAGGCCCAAAAAGGGATTTTTGGGTGAAAATAGTGGGGTAAGGTGCCTTGGGCTTTTTGGGATGCATAGATCTCGAAAAAATATCCAAAATAAAAAAAGATCACCCCAATCAGACATCTAAGTGTAAAGTTATGACCTCCAGAAGTTTGCACATGCATCGAGTGTGCAACCCATGACCCGATGACCGGGTTGAATGGGTCAACCACCTAAGTTGGATGCTTTTTGATCAAGTCAATGGTTATTGACCAAATGACAGGTTTCATGCAAACCAAACCCAAAATCTTGACTGAATGCCCATTCAAACAGTTCAACCGATTAGATCAACAACAAGTTGAAAAACATTGAATTTATTAGGCATGTGAGATAGATTAGGAGATGTTTTAGATGGAGGTGATAATTTAGGGAAAATTTTAGGAGAGGAGATGATTTAGGTGAGAGAGAGAGAGATTTTAGGAAAATATGGGTGTTGAGGTGGTTGGTAAGGTAAGAGTGTTAGGCTGTGTTTGTTTGAGGTGTAAAGGCAAAACTCCATCAGTGTAAAAGAAAACTGGTCCAACATGTAAGTGCAAAACATGAACCGGATAGATGCAGCTTTTACATTGTTCTGCGTTTGGAAGAATAGTGTAAAACATCAGCGTATTTTCTGTATGCATTTGGATGAACAATGGTGTAAAACTACATCCATGTATTAATGACAAATAAGATTGCCAACACTATAGTAACTAAGAGATGGAGCAACAATAATTAATTATACATTTATTTCTGTTGCTGTTGTTTTTTTGGAGCTTCCTCCCATACTTTCTGTGACAAATTCGTCACAGACCTTGGTGAGGGAAGATATCATCGGAAGCTCCCCAAGAGGTCCACAAAACATATGCCTAGTCAGGGTATCGGCCTTGAAAATCTTTAGAGAAACGAATGAACCATGAATGCCTAAAAATGGAATTCTGCAATAGAAAGACTTTGTATCAAGCGTCTTGGTAATCCTAGTAATTGAATATTTTGGGTATTCTATCAATAGGCTTGGTGATGAATTTTGGCTTGCTTGCATCACCCCAGGTAGATAGAGAGATGAACTTTACTATTACTAGCATGGAATAAGCTAGTTTAGTTTTATTTGGATCTCTAAAGTAGTGTTGAATTCGTGCAGATCCTGTATGAAGAAGAATTTCTTCATAATACTTATAGTCCTTATTTCGACCACAGAGAGTGAAATGATGCCCATCTAAAATGGAGAGGGCAAGGTGCTAAAGAGCTCCTTCTGGGTTGACATGAGTGGAGACGGCGGTGACTTCTTCTAATGAGATAGTTACTACGAAATATGATGAATTAGGCATGTACTGCCTGGAATTAGCATCTTCCATTGCGGGAGATGGATCCCTAATTAAGGGAGACATTAATGGGGACTGATTACTCCTTGAACTTGCTCCGATCTCATAATTAAATCTTGGATTGGACTCATTAGTCCTTTTAGGGCGCCTGAAATTAGGATTTAGAGGAATACAAAGTCTTCTGTTGGTCATCTTTAATTAGATAACCTTGCAAGAATTCCCTGATCAAAAAATCTAGCAAAGCATTTTCAGATCCTTTAATATATTTAATATCAAAATAAAAAACCGACAAAATAGCTTGCCATCTAGCAAAAATTTGTTTTGAAACCAGGTTTTTCACATCATTTTCCAAAATCTCTTTGGCTGATTTGCAATCAATTTAAAGAGTGAAATGCTGGTTTATTAAATCACTTTGAAATTTAGTGATGCAAAGGACTATGCTGAGCTTTTCTTTTTTGGCAGTAGAGTATTTTCTCTAGGTATTATTCCGGGTTTCTGAGGTGAACCGGATTATCTCATCTTTTCCATCTCTTCTTTGTTTTAGGATTCCTCCATATCCTATTTCACTGGCATCAGTTTCCACTATCTTAGGGGATTTTGGATGAGGAATGTTAAGGCAGGGAAGGGTTTTTACCCTTTGTTTAATCTTTCTCACTGATTGAGTGAACTGTTCGCTCCATTCTAGAGGGTTTTGCTTCAGTATTTTTTCGAGTAATTGGCGGTCTTGGGCTATTCCTCTATAATAGTCTGCTACATAATTTAGACTACCTAAGAATCTTTGAAACTGGGTTTTATCTTTGATCTCGTCAGGGAATTTATCAGCAAACTCTATCACTCTTTGGATGGGTGCTATTGTTCCTTTAGATATCTAAAATCCTAAAAATCTAATCTCTATTTGGAAGAGTTTCATTTTCTTAGCAAATGCTGCTAATCCATTTTCTTTCATCACCCGGAGGAATATATTCAAGTGTTTCTAGTGGGCATTTATAGATGAAGAATAGATCAATACATCATCAATATATACTATTATGAATTGAGTATAGGGAGTGAATATTTCATTCATAATTCTTTGAAACTCAGATGGGGCGCTTTTTAGCCCAAAAGGCATTACATTCCACTCATAGTGTTCGAAAGGCACTATGAATGCAATCTTATATCTATCATTTTCTTCTATTATAATCTACCAATAACCTGATTTTAAGTCGAATTTTGAGAATATTTCTGCGTCATTTAGGCGGTTCATCAGATCCTACGTATTAGGAATGGGGTATCTAATCCATCTTAAAGCTTTATTGAGGGGTTCGTAATTTATTACGAGTCTCGGTACTCCTCTTTCTATTTTTGCTACACTTTCTACATAGAAAGCAGGGCAGCTCCAAGGGGACTTGCTTGGTCCAATTAGACACTTCCCCAATAAATCTTGGATTTCTTTCTTAGAGATTTTCAATAATCTGTTATTCATTTGAATTGGTATGGATTTTGTAGGAATTTTTTATTCTCTAAAATCTTTTTCATATGGCAATTCTACTGTATGATTTTTCCTATACCAAAATGCACTAGGCGTTTCAGCTCAAATTTCCTATAGGTTTTTGACAAAACTTATAAGTAACCGGAATTTCTCCTATTATTGTCGTGATTCCTGAAGAATCAATTTGGCAAGGAATGATGAATAACAAGAAGGGAGTACCCAAAATGACTTCTTTTCATAGATCTTTTACCATAAGGAAAGTAGACTTTAGACAAGTTCCTTGATTGCAAATATGGGCTGCCGGAATCTTTATTTTATTTCAAACTTCCTTCCATCCGCAACATTAACTTGCTGGGATGTTTTCTCAAAGTATCTAGAAGGCACAATTCCTTCTCTAATACAGTTAATATCTGCGCTTGAGTCTATTAAGGCTATTACTGAGAAATTGTAATCTTTGATTCTGATGGTAATTTTAGAATACCATTTTTGGTATTTAATTTCTTCTGTAGAGTATATAAACTCTCCATCGTTTCCGACAAACTCAACAGAAACCTGTTCTGATGATTTTTCTGATTGATTATCCCAGAATTTTCCAGCTTCTAATTGGCCGACCCTTAATTTGAGGGTTTTTAACTCTCTTTTGAGTGGTTGACTTCTTCCTGTAAACCTTGTATTGTAGGGGGTCGAGAAGTTTCTACTTGAGACCTTCTAATCAGTTCTCTATAAGAAATTATATTCTTTTCATCCAACAGCTATTTAGGTTTCTCTTTGTTGGTTCTTTTAGCTCTACTTTGTAAGGCTATTAGCAAGTATTTTTTCTTTGATTCCTTATTAGGAATTTCATTAAGTTTCTCTAAAATATATTCTTCATCTAAGGTTAATACATTGAATTCTTCTGACTCTTCCTCAGCAATATCTGTTTCACTCTTTCATGTGCATATATCATTAGCACAACATTATTTTGGAGAGGTAGAAGATTCTATTGTTGAGACTTCTGGCTCTCCTTCTTCGTCTAATTCATTGAGTTTCTTGGTGGTGTTTTTATTTTTAAAACATTTGTTAGCATAATGGCTTTTTTGCCCGCATTTAAAACAAGTTGGGGCTGCTAACTTTCTAATCTTAGCAAGCCTTTTAGGGTTCTTATGGGGCTTTTTTTTTCCTTTTTGTAGAAGTTTATTTTCTTTTTCTTCTGAACTATCCGAGGACCAGGGTGTTCAGAAGCCATCTCAAATTGATAGCAGAAGTCTCCTAATTCTCTTTTAGAATTAAGTTTTTCCTTCTTGACTTGTATCTTTAGATGCATATTGTTACATACTTCTAGACCTATTTGGTTCACTACTTGAATCAGATATCCATAGGAGTAGTTGGAGTACAAGATTCTACCACCTCCTATTTTCCTAAGGTAGTTCCTAACCTTCCCAGTAAACATCGGTGGGAGTCCAGAGATAAATTGTTCTTTCCAGAAATCCTGTTTGGAGTTGGTCAATCTATGTACTTTGGACATGAATACATCTTTGTACCATCTAAAATTAGATAAGGTTTTACATCTGAGATTTATTAATTGTTCTCTTATTCTTTCCCACATATTTGATGAATTTCCTATGAACTGACTTAGGATGTTAAGGATTAAATTCATTATTTATTTTTAGTTTACAACATAATTTAACTTTCAGGTTACAAAATAATTATTATTTATTATTTCTATGATTTAATTATTATTTATTTACTTTTTAGTAATTTTTATATTTTTTCAGTAATTACCATAATATTATTATTTAATTATGGAAAACAATATTTAATTTTTTTATTAATGTTAATAAGTAGTCGATAAACATAATTAGCTAACATAATTAATTATTATTTAATACTTTCATTAATTTTCATTAAATATTTTGAAAATAATAGCTAATAAGCATAACTTGATTGACATAAAAGTTTGAGGTAATAAATGATAATTATTTATTAACTAACATAATTAATTATTATTCAATAATTTAAATAAAATTTTCAATGATTATAGACAATCATTAGTTTAGTAAAAATTTAATAAAATTATTATGATTTATTTATTATTTGTTATTTATTTATTTTTCAGTAATTACCATATTTA